CTATAAATATACAAAAGAGAAAGAGAAAGAAATAGAACCACACCACTAAAGAAAGTCAATAAAGCACAAAGGAAGTGAGCAAGAGAAGAAAGGAACAGAGAGGATCTATAAAAACAGCCAGAAAACAATTAACACAATGTCAATAAGTACATACCTCTCAATAATTGCTTTAAATGTAAATGGATTCAATTTTACAATCAGAAGCTATAGGATGTCTGAATGGAAAAATAAAGGACCTACCTTTATCTGCCTACAAAAGACCCATTTTATTTTATTTTTTATTTATTTTATTTTTATTTTTTTATTTTTTAAAGATTTTATTTATTTATTTGACAGAGAGATCTAGATAGTGAGAGTAGGAACACAAGCAGGGGGAGTGGGAGAGGGAGAAGCAGGCTTCTTGCTGAGCAGGGAGCCCAATATGGGACTCGATCCCAGGACCCTGGTGCCCCCAAAAGACTCATTTTAGACATAAGGACACACACAGATCGAAAGTGAAGGGATGGAAAAAGTTATTCTATGCAAATGGAAACTAAAAGAAAGCTGGAATAACTATGCTTGCATCAGACAAAATAGACTTTAAAACAAAGACTGTAATAAGAGACAAAAAATGGCACTTTGTAATGATAAAGGGGTCAATCCAGCAGGAGAATACATTTGTAAATATTTATACACCCAATATAAGAGGACTTATGTGTAAAGCAAATATTAGCAGGCCGAACGGGTATAATAGACAGCAATGCAATAATGGTAGGGGATTTTAATGTTCCATTTACATCAATGGATAGATCATCCAGTCATAAAATCAATAAGGAAATATTAGTTTTTTTATGACACATTAGACCAGATGGACCTAACGTATTTACAGAACGGTCCATTCAAAAGCAAAGAATATACATTCTTCTTCGCAAGTGCACATGGAACATTTTCCAGGATAGATCATATGTTAGGCCACAAAACAAACCTTAATACATTTAAGAGGATTGAAATTATATCCAACATCTTTTCCAACCATAATGGTATGAAATTGGAAATTAATTACATGAAGAAACCTGGAAAATTCATATTTGGAGATTAATTAACATGCTACTGAACAATAAGTAGGTGAAAGAAGAAATAAAAAGAGAAATTTAAAAAATACCTTGAGACAAATGACAACAGAAATACACCAAAATTTATGGGATGCAGCAAAAGGAGTTTCTAAGATGGATGTTCATAGTGATAAATACCTACCTCAAGAAATAAGAAAAATCTCAAATAAACAACCTTACTTTACATCTCAAAAAACTAGAAAAAGGAGAACAAAGAAGCCTAAAGCTGGTAAAAGGAAGAAAATAACAAAGATTAGAGCAGAAATAAATAAAATAGAAACTAAAAAGACAGTAGAAGAGATCAATGAAGCTAATAACTAGTTCTTTGAAAAACTAAACAAAATTGACCTTTAGCTAAGCTCACTAAGAAAAAGAGAGGACTCAAATAAATAAAATCAGAAACAAAAAAGATGTTACACCTGACACCACAGAAATAAAAAAGATCATATGAAGAATTACATGCCAACAAATTGGACAACCTAGAAGAAATGGATAAATTCTTAAAAACATACACCCTGCCAAGACTGAATCATGATGAAATAGAAAATCTGAACAGACTGATTACCAGTAAGAGGATTGAATTAATAACAAAAAATCTCCCAACAAACAAAAGGGTAGGACAAGACAGCTTTCTCAAACTCTTTCAAACTCATTTTATGAGGCCAGTGTTACCCTGATACCAAAACCAGACAATGACACTACTAAAAAGGAAAATTACAGGCCAGTATTCCTGATGAAGATAGATGCAAAAATCTTCAACAAAATATTAGCAACCTGAACTCAACAATACATTAAAAGGATCTCTCACTACGATCAAGTGGTACTCATGACAAAGGAGCCAAGAAAATACAGTGTGGAAAGGAGGGTCTATATTTTTTTCTGTGTAGGAACCATCTTTCTTTTTGTTTTGTTTTCGTTTTCTTAAAATTGTTTATTTCAATTCTATTTAGTTAATATAGAGTGTATTGTTTGTTTCAGATGTAGAATTTAGTGATTCATCAGTTGCATACAACACCCAGTGCTCATTCCATCAAGTGCCCTCATTAATGCTCATCATCCAATTACCCACCCCCCACCCCAGCCCCTTTAGCAACCCTCAGTTTCTTTTCTAGAGTTAAAAGTCTCTTATGGTTTGTCTCATTCTCTGTTTTTATCTTATTTTATTTTTCCTTGCGTTCCTCCATGTTATTCTGTTTCATTTCTTAGATTGCACATATGAGTAAAATCATGATATTTTTCTTTCTCTGACTTATTTCACTTGGCATAATTCCTTCTAGTTCTATCCACGTTGTTGCAAATTGAAAGATTTAATGCTTTTTGATGGCTGAGTAATATTCCATTTTATACACACACAGACACACACGCACACACACACACACAAATCTTTATCCATTCATCTGTCAGTGAGCATCTGGGCTCTTTCCATAGTTAGGCTATTGTGGACATTGCTGGTATAAACATTGGGGTGCCTGTGCCGCTTCGGATCACTACATTTGTATCCTAGGAATGCAATTGCTGGATTGTAGGGTAGTTCTATTTTTAACTTTCTGAGGAACCTCCAGACTGGTTTCAGAGTGGCTGCACCAGCTTGCATTCCCACCAACAATGTAAGAGAGATCCCCTTTCTTTACATCCTCACCAACATCTGTCCTTTCCTGAGTTGTTAATTTTAGCCATTTTGACAGGTGTGAGGTGGTATCTCGTGGTTTTGATTTGTATTTCCCTGATGCTGAGTGATGTCGAACATTTCTTCATGAGTCTGTTGCCATTTGTATGTCTTCTTTGGAGAAATGTCTGTTCATGTCTTCTGCCTATTTCTTTTTTTAAAATTTTTTATTATGTTATATTAATCACCATACATTACATCATTAGTTTATGATGTAGTGTTCCATGATTCATTGTTTGCATATAACACCCAGTGCTCCATTCAGTACGTGCCCTCTTTAATGCCCATCACCAGGCAAACCCATCCCCCCCCACCCTCCCCTCTAGAACCCTCAGTTTGTTTCTCAGAGTCCATAGTCTCTCATCGTTCGTCTCCCCCTCAGATTCCCCCCCTTAATTTTTCCCTTCCTACTATCTTTTTTTTTTTTAACATATAAAGTATTATTTGTTTCAGAGGTACAGGTCTGTGATTCAACAGTCTTACACAATTCACAATGCTCACTGTAGCGTATACCCTCCCCAATGTCTATCACCCAGTCACTCTATCCCTCCCACACCCCACCAGTCCAGCAACCTTCAGTTTGTTTCCTGAGATTAAGAATTCCTCATATCAGTGAGGTCATATGATACATGTCTTTCTCTGATTGATTTACTTCGCTTAGCATAATATCCTCTAGTTCCATCCACATCGTTGCCAATGGCAAGATTTCATTTTTTTGATGGCTGTCTAATATTCCATTGTATATATATACCACTTCTTCTTTATCCATTCATCTGTTGATGGACATCTCGGGTCTTTCCATAGTATGGCTATTGTGGACGTTGCTGCTATAAACATCAGGGTGCACATACCCCTTCGGATCACTACATCTGTGTCTTTGGGGTAAATACCCAGTAGTGCAATTGCTGGGTCATATGGTAGCTTTATTTTCAACTTTTTGAGGAACCTCTGTACTGTTTTCCAGAGTGGCTGCACCAGCTTGCATTCCCACCAACAGTGTAGGAGGGTTCCCCTTTCTCCACATCCTCGCCAACATCTGTAGTTTTCTGACTTGTTAATTTTAGCCATTCTGACTGGTGTGAGGTGGTATCTCATTGAGGTTTTGATTTGGATTTCCCTGATGCCAAGTGATATTGAGCACTTTTTCATGTGTCTGTTGGCCATTTGGATGTCTTCTTTGGAAAAATGTCTGTTCATGTCTTCTGCCCATTTCTTGATTGGATTATTTGTTCTTTGGGTGTTGAGTTTAAGAAGTTCTTTATAGATTTTGGATACTAGCCCTTTATCTGATATGTCATTTGCAAATATCTTCTCCCATTCTGTTGGTTGTCTTTTGGTTTTGTTGACTGTTTCCTTTGCTGTGCAAAAGTTTTTTATCTTGATGAAGTCCCAATAGTTCATTTTTGCCCTTGCTTCCCTTGCCTTTGGTGATGTTTCTAGGAAGAAGTTTCTGTGGCTGAGGTTGAAGAGGTTGCTGCCTGTGTTCTCCTATCAGATCTTGATGGACTCCTGTCTCACATTTAGGTCTTTCATCCATTTTGAGTCTATTTTTTGTGTGTGGTGTAAGGAAATGGTCCAGTTTCATTCTTCTGCATGTGGCTGTCCAGTTTTCCCAACACCATTTATTGAAGAGACTGTCTTTTTGCCATTGGACATTCTTTCCTGCTTTGTCAAAGATTAGTTGACCATAGAGTTGAGGGTCCATTTCTGGGCTCTATTGTCTTGATGATGACAGCTTTGTAATAGAGCTTGAAGTCCGGAATTGTGACGCCACCAGCTTTGCTTTTCTTTTTCAACATTCCTCTGGCTATTCGGGGTCTTTTCTGGTTTCATACAAATTTTAGGATTATTTGTTCCATTTCTTTGAAAAAAGTGGATGGTATTTTGATGGGGATTGTATTGAATGTGTAGATTGCTCTAGGTAGCATTGACATCTTTGCAATATTTGTTCTTCCAATCCATGAGCATGGAACGTTTTTCCATTTCTTTGTGTCTTCCTCAATTTCTTTCATGAGTATTTTATAGTTTTCTGAGTACAGATTATTTACCTTTTGGTTAGATTTATTCCTAGGTATTTTATGGTTTGGGGTGCAGTTGTTAATAAAAAAAAAAGTCTCTTATAGACAGATGCTTTTTTTTTTTTTTAATCCAATCTGATACCCTATATCTTTTGATTGGAGCACTTAGTCCATTTCGGTTTAGAGTATTTATTAAAAGATATGAATTTAGTGCCATTGCATTACCTTAAAGTCATTGTTCCTTTCTGATTTTTGTTTTCTTTTGTGGTCTCTCTTTGATCAAAAGATTCCCTTTACTATTTCTTGCATGGCTGGTTTAGTGTTCACAAATTCCTTTTGTTTTTGTTTGTCCTTGGAACTATCTCTCTTTCTTTCTTTTTTTTTATATTAGGTTTTTTAAATTTTATTTATTTTTTAATAATTTTTTATTGTTATGTTAATCACATTGAACAAGCAGACCAAAATATACCCAGGATCTAATATTTTGTTCTGTTCTGTTTGTAATACATTACATCATTAGATGTAGTGTTCCATGATTCATTGTTTGTGCATTACACCCAGTGCTCCAACTATCTCTCTTTCTATTATGAATGATGGCTTTGCTGGATAAAGTACTCTTGGCTGCATATTTTCCCCATTTTGCACATTCCCTATATCATGCCAGTCCTTTCTGGCCTGCCAGTTCTCTGCGGACACGTTTACTGCCGGCCTTATGTGTCTGCCCTTGTAGGTTAAGGATCTCTTTTCCTGAACTACTTTCAGGATTTTCTATCTCTGAAATTTACAAGCCTCACTATTATATGTCGAGGGGTTGTCCTATTTTTGGATATTGAGGGGTTTCGTGGTGCCTCCTGGACTTGAATGCCCGTTTTCTTCCCCAGATTAGGGAAGTTCTCAACTGTAACTTGTTCAAATAAACTTTCTGCTCCCCCTTCACCTTCTGGGACCTTTATTATCTAAATATCAGTTCGGTCTGATATCACTGATTTTTCAAAGTCTCCCTTCATGATGTAGTACTTTTCTTTCTCTCTTCATTTCATTTTCCTTATTTTCTATCATTTTATCTTCTATATCACTGACTCTCCCTTTGCCTCATTTTTCCTCACTGTTAGAGCCTCCATTTTTGACTGCATCTCAATAATAGCATTTTTAGTTTAGACCTTATTAGATTTTAATTCTTCTATTTCTACAATAAGGGTTCTCTAGTGTCTCTATTCTTTTTTCAAGCCCAGCTGCTATCCTTATAATCATTGTTTTAAATTTTAGTTCAGACATCCTACTTATACCCATATTGATTAAATCCCTGGCAGTGAGTGCTACCTCCTGTTTTTTCTCTTGGAGGGTATTTCTCTGTCTGGTCATTATGTCCAGAATAGAATAAAAGAAAGAGAAAAGACAAAATACCACCAACAACAATAGAAAAAAATAACAAAACAAATTGGAAGAAAAGAAATAGAAGACAAAATAAGAAAAAAATGAAAGTAGAAACAAACAGAACAAAAGAAAATATTAGATCCTGGGTATATTTTGGTCTGCTTGTTCAAAGAAACCAGATCTCAAAATAGGAAAGGATGAAAAACTTAAACGAAAATAAAGTAAAATAAAATAAAATACAGCTAAAGGAAACCAAAGATAATATATATAATGTATATATAAAAATAAAAAATAAGAAAATAGTGAAAAAGTAAAACTGAAAGGCAAAGAATAAAACAAAACAAAACCGTGAATGCTGTATACTCTTTTCCCTAAGTGCTGAAGTTTTGCATCTCTCTATGATGGGTAAACTCGGTGCTAACCAGGTGTTTGCTGTGTTCTGGGTGAGGGTCCTGTGTGCACTGATTCTCAGGTGTCTTTCCCCTGGTGGAATTGTGTCTCCCTGACAGGGTTATGAGATCAGTGTTAGTGGTTTTGATCCCACTATGTGGCACTGTTTTACTTCCTGAAGACTTTTAACACCAATGGGGGTGGGGGGTGAAAAAGGTGGTGTCCAACTCTCTAACCCCAGAGCTGAAAGTTCTTGCCCCTCACTCTTCGGTGGGCTCTTAGAGAAAAGCAGTCAATCACTTTTGTTCCCTGGTTTCTGTCTGAACTCCATGTACACCCAACCTGTGACTGAGCATTTTTATCTCGGGCATGCAACTAGGTTCAATTGGCTAAATTTTGTGGACTCCTGTGGCACTGACCCACACTGTTCCTCCCAGGGGAGGGAGGGGATCTCCCCATACTTCTGCCTTTTGCTGGGCCCTGCCTGCAGAGCAGCTGACGGGCCATGTAGTGGTTTGCAGTTTATGGCATCACCACACAGAAAGCCATTGCCTAGACTCACTATTTTCAGCCAGCTTCCCTGCTCTGATGCCTGGGAACTCTGCTGCACTCAGGCACCCCCATTCTTCTTGTGACCCTGGGGATCCTTAGACCATGCTGTCCCACCTGGGATTTCACCCCACTCTGCCACCTGAGCACCTTTAATCCAGGGATATCCCCCACTGTAGCAGACTTCTAAAAGTTCCAATTTTGTGCTCTGCTGTTTATAATACTTAGTGGTAGCCTCCTTAAGCCGGCTCCCTCCCCTCATAGTATCCTCCAATATATTGCCCCTGATTCAAGTCTCTGCACCTCCTATGTTCCAAAAAGTGGTTACTCTTCTATTTGTAGAATTGCAGCATTTGTTTTCTCAGATCTCCGATGATTTTGCAGGTGTTTAGCATAATGTAATGATTTTCTAGCTGAATTCCAGGGACCAGACGAACTTAGGGTCCCTTTCTCTTCTGCACTGTGTTTTCACTTTCATTTGCTTCCATATATTTTTAAAATTCTTCTTTAATTTCCTGGTTGACCCATTCATGTTCTTTAACCTCCATGTATTTGTGGTCCTTCCAAACTTCTTCTTTGGTTGACTTCGAGATTCATAGCCCTGTGGTCTGAAAATATGCATGGTATGATTTCAGTCTTTTTGTACTGGTTGAAACCTGATTTGTGACTCAGTATGTCTCTATTCTAGAGAATGTTCCATGTGCACTTGAAAAGAATGTGTATTCTGTTTCTTTAGGATGAAATTTTCTGAATATATCTGTGAAGTACATCTGGTCCAATATGTCATTCCAAGCCATTGTTTCCTTTTTGATCTTCTCCTTAGATGATCCATGGGTAAGGACACTCTATTAAATAAATGGTGCTGGAAAAATTGGACACCATATGCAAAAGAATAAAACTGGATCACTTGCACCATACACAAAAATTAAATCCAAGTGGATGAAAGACTTGAACATAAGACCTGAAACCATAAAACTTGTAGAAGGAAACCTAGTCAGTAAGCTCTTTGACATAGGTCTTGGTGATGATGTTTTGAAACATTTTACAGTGAAAGCAAAAGGAACAAAATGAAAATAAACAAGTGGGACTATGTCAAGCTAAAACCTGCAAAGCAAAGGAAACCATCAACAGAATGAAAAGGTAACCAACTGAATGGAAGAGAATATTTGCAAATCATATGTTTGATAAGGGGTTAATAGCCAAAATATATAAATGACTCATACAACTCAATAGCAAAATAACAACGGATTAAAAAAATGGGCAGAAGATCTGAATGGCCATTTTCCCCAAAAAGACATACAGATAGGCAACGGACACATGAAAAGATGCTCTACATCAGTAATCATTAGACAATGAGATATTACCTCACACCTGTTAGAATGGCTATTATAAAAAAAAAAACAAGAAATAAGTATTGGTGAGGATGTGGAGAAAAGGGAACCAATGTGCACTGTTGATGGGAATGTAAATTGGTGCAGCCTCTATGGAAAATAGTATGGAGGTTTCTCAAAAACTTAAAAGTAGAACTACTCTATGATCTAGCAATTTCACTTCTGGGTATTTACTCAAGCTTAAAAAGATATATGCACCCCCATGTTCATTGTAGTATATTCCTAATAGTCAAGATAAGGAAACAACCTAAGTGTTCACTGGACTAATGAATAAAGAAAATGCAGTAGATATATATAGTGGGATATCATTCAGCCATAAAAAAGAAAGAGGGGAGCTAAGATGGCAGTGTAGTAGGAGGATGCTAGCTTGCCTTGTCTCTTAAACACAGCTATAACTATCAAATCATTCTAAATACCTAAGAAATTGACCTGAGGACTGACAGAACAAACTGCACAACCAGATGGAGAGAAGAGGTCACACTGAGGAAGGTAGGAAATGTGGAGACGTGGTTTGGGGGAGAAATGGATCATGAGTGCTACAGTGGGAAGGAAGCCCTGGTCATGGAGAAAAGCAGGAAAGAGAGAGAGGGAGAGAGAGAGAGGAGCACACAGGAGAATGCACAAGGAGAACACTTCCCTAAAGCCATTGGCTGGGAAAATGAGAGGGGCTGGTTTTCATGAGTTTTTGCAACCAGCAGGGCTCAACGACTGGTGTTTTATAGGTTTACAGGCATGAGGGTCATGCCCTATTCCTGGAGAGAAGGCAGGCAAGCAACCCAGGGGCAGATGGCATGATCCAAGGAATGCCTAAGGTGCACGGAGAGAGACTGTTCAGTCTTCTTGGAGCACATCTGTGATTTTCTCAGAGTTGCCTGTCAGGGAACAAAAGAGCAGGCAGGCACCATTTCCTTCTCTTGGCCCCCACCATGGGCTCAGAGACACCTGCTGTGGGTGGCTAAATCAGACACTGGCTGTTTAGCCTACTTTGCTCCAAATCCCATGCACTTTGGCACAATTGCCCTTCTCGGTCAAACCTGCATCAGTCTCAGTACAGCAAGATCCTCCCCCAGAAGGAAGTCCAGCACAAGTCCCTGCCTGCCACACCAGGTAACTAAAGTTTGGATTTTTAAAAGTCAGCAGGCTTGGCTGGGATGGAGCCTGAAGTGCACTGTGCAGTTCCAGGCAGGCAGGCAGGCAACCTGAGAGAGACAGTGTGAAAACAGTGATCTAAAGAATGCATGGGACACATGAGGGGAAATTACTCACTCTTCTGGGAGTGCTTCCCTGAGAGCAACAAGCACTGAATTCCCTCTTGGGGAACAAATGAGCTGGCTGGTGTCATTGTCCTCCCCCATGCCTCAAGACTAACCAATTCAGTACAGCACCAACACTGGCTGCCTAACCTGCTTACACTGAGTCCTGCCTCCCTCCACTCTGCTGGTACTGCTTTTCTTGTTTTTTATTTATTATTTATTATTTATTTATTTATTTTTTTTATGTGAAGTTAGCCACCATACAGTACATCATTAGTT